CATAAGTTATTCCCCCCCCCCCCCACGCCCCAACCAAAAATATGCACATATACCTAGTTTGAATGGTCCAGAAAATAAAACTTTAAGAAAAACACATGAGTTTGTGAAAAGGTGATACATTTTTTTTTTAAAAAAACCTACTTTTTGAAAAAGTAAAATCGATTTCTCATATAAAAAATAAAAATGTCTATGAAAAAACGAAAATTCACATTTAAATAATTTGAAAAAAAGGTTCTAAAGTAAAGGCCCACTGACATTTGAATCACCGAGTTAGATCGATGGGGTAAATAAAATATTTTTTGTTTTCTAGAATGAAGTGGAAAAAAGAACACAAGATGGCCAGCATGAACGCTATGCCTATGCATCAAATGCACCCAGCTCTAGCTTATGGTCATCATCCTCATCTTCAGGTGGAGAAAGATAGATAAATAGATAGACAGACAGACAGACAGATATATATAGATGTTCTAGCTCTTATAGATAGATAGATAGATAATTATTTTTTAAATTGCTAAAAAATTAAACCCCCTACCTAGGGAGGGGGGATTATAGAATAGGTAAATCCCCTTCCTAGTGGGGGGAATAAAAGAAAAGGTCCCCTACCTGGGGGGAATTATAGAAAAGGTAAATCCCCTACCTGGGGGGGGGGGGGGGGGAAGAAAATATAGGAGTCTAATGTAGATTGGCATAATTTAGAAATCGACGGGAAATGTGGTTTCCTTGGCTTATTACTTTTTTCATCAAAATTTAAGAATCTGAATTCTTTTTAAAGATTGTAACGGCAAACATTTGACTGAAAGAATCTATTAATTTTGTTTTAAAAATATTTGTTCAAAGACAGGGCCGTAATTTAGGACTCAATTGTCATAAGTTCTTATTCACCCCTTTACTCTAGTAATGTTATGTTAAAACCAAAACCTTCAAATATCAAAGACAATTTTCTGTAATTATCCCAGGGCGGTTTCTGATTGGTTTAAGGGTGGGGGAATCCGACCAATGAGAGGCCAGGGATTGGACCAGTGGGAAATAATTGTCTAATGACTGTACTTAAACCTATCATTCGTCAAAATAATTGTTATTTAATAAGAGGTGCAGGTCCCCGGTTATTTTACCATATTTTACAATATTTTATTGTATTTTACCAAAATTGATACCGCCAGGTTTTCAAGATAGGTAGGGGGTTTACATTTTCTACAATTCCCCCCCCATGTAGGGGGGTTCACCTTTTCTATAATCCCCACTAGGTAGGGGGTTTACCTTTTCTATTATTCCCCGCCCCCTAGGTAGGGGGTTTACCTTTTCTATAATTCCCCCCACCCCCTAGGTAGGGGGTTTACCTTTTCTATAATCCCCCCAAGGTAGGGGGTTTACCTTTTTTATTATTCCCCCCCCCCTTACGAATCCTCTGAAAGGAGTGTGTTTCTACCATTAACAGATTTGCATTAAAAAATTTGTGACTTTTTGATGAAAATTTAAAATTATTAGAGAAAGAAAACACACAGATAAAAGTTAAGTTACATTTTATATTTAATGAAAACCCCAGGTGAAGGGGTTAAGGAAATTTAAACCCCTGAACTTAAGTTTATAAAGAACGCAGCCAATTTTACGCTTCCAACCATTATTATTTTTGAATTGATAAACATAAATCATGTTAACTCCAATTAAGCGTGTTACACAAATAGTACCAGCAACATTTTAAGATTTTTTCACTTAAATAATAGAACGTTTTCACTGATTTTTTAAGGGGGGATTGGGGGACGGAGCACATCAAAATTTTAACATGGAATGGGGTTGAAAATTTAGTTTTTTAAATTTAAAATGTAAATAAAATGCAAATGATTAGTTTATAATTAAATATCTTAATCCACTTAAAACTATTCTTTTTGTTAAGGATGACCCGTACTGGAGGTTTTTCAATTACGGCCAATGATCTTCAAAAACCTCCTCAAACGGTAATAAACCTTGGGCAATGGGGTTTTAAACGGATCTTAAGAAAACATTTTCAAAATTTTGTTGGTACTAAAATATGTCGAATATGGATCAAATTTTGAATATTTTTTATTTCAGGCTATGGGAATGCAACACTTTGGACTGCATGAGGCACAAATGGCCCAACATAACTTGGAAGCCAAGGCACATTTTGCTCACTACGGACTCCAATGACAAGAGGCAATGTCGTCTTCAGTTATTGACTTTTGATTCCCGCATTTTCCTCCCCGATCTGCAGCCAATCTAGGGCAGTAGTTTTAAAACGTGTTCAGGGTCATCACGCGTCGACATGCAGTGCTATATGAGAAAGCAGTACTCAGAGACAGGCACAATTTTGTTGTAAAAGTACACAGCTCATAGAAATGTGCTAAAAAATACCACTCAAAATCTGGTGATTTCAACCCGAGTGTAAAACTAGTGAAACCAAACCCGGTGAATACTCAAGTTTAAGAAACCAAACTAAATATATTATTTAGAAACTATACTATGTAAACACGTGTTTAACTGGGAACTGATGTAACCAGTCTGGGACCTCTCTTTTGCTCATTTTTTACCAAGAAGTTCAACAATTTCACCAGTCTCCTCCTCTAAGGGGGCCATAAAGGGAGTGTAAGCGTAATTTCAAGTGACCTTCCAAGCAAAAATGGCAATGCCCGATTTACAACGGTACCCTTGAAGCCTTAATCTGATCAGCAATGTGGAAGATACCGTCGTTGCAAATGAAAATAAACAGTTTAAAGAAACAAAAATATGGATATCAAATTCATACTTGATCAGACAAAGTTTTCAAGGGTACCGTTGTAAATCTAGCATTGTCGTCTTTGCATGAAAGATCACTTAAAATTACGCGTACAGTCCCTTTAAACAAATTTAGTAGTGTAAAATTGTTGAAGTTTCTGATTCTGCTAACTTATATGTGTCAGATTTAGTTGATTATATTGTAGATATAGAATAGAATTTATGCCATGGTTAGTCTCATATAAACTCCNCCCCCCACAACTAACATGTACCAGCAAAGGTCGTCTTACAAAAAAAAATAACGGCTGAATTTGGTGAACCAGGAGTTTTTGTAAAGTATTAATATTTTTTTCAGAAAATTTTTATGTTGAATCTTTTAAGCACAAACAGAAACGAAATTTTCCTCACTTCCTTATTTTAATCAAAACACAAGGTATACAAATGAACTAATGTACTTATCCAAGTTTAAAAAAGTAAACTGTAGTGTGTGACCTCTGAGTTTTGCCCAATCTGTGACATGTCTTTCATTTTAAAGTTGGCCTAAATCAGTTATATATATACTAGACTAAAACTGGCCAAATTATCTCATCCCGCTAGAGCATCCTTCTGATTTTTGCCATCTTACCTGTGAAATAACTAGTGTTGAGTATGGGCCTACACCCCCTCATGAATTGTATAGAATAAATCCTCCTGGTGATTTAATGTTAAAATTTTGATTCGATTATGTGAACTTAACATTTAATAAACATTTCAAATAATCTATTTTTATTATAGATTTTTAAGGTTTAGATCGTTTAAAGCTCTAACTTGAGATTAAAGGGACTAATCAGAAAATTCAAAAAGAGTCATTTAAATAAACTAGCATTAGAGGGCACTTCGCGCCCATCTTCTAAATTAATTGTGAACATGTTCTCTTTGTGTACAACGTAAAACAAAACAAAAGTAATTCGCGGATTTTCACAAAAAAATTTCGTGGATTTTCAAAATTTTCAAAAATTTATGAAGATCGAATTTTGATGGAAACAAATATTTGAAACTTTGATCATTCATAAACCTTCCCTGGGGCCCCTAGATGTCCCAGAACAAATTTGGGCCCGATCGGTTCAGCCGTTTTGACGTTTTTTGGATACAAACAAACAAACAAACAGACAGACAAGCCAAATTTATATATAGACTAGCTCGAGGGCGCTTCGAATTTTGATGGAGACAAATATTTAAAATTTTGATGATTCATAAACCTTCCCTGGGATCCCTAGATGTCCCACAAAAAATTTGGGCCCGATCGGTTCAGCCGTTTTGACGTTTATTATGACACCCAAACAGACAAACAAACAGACAAGCCAAATTTATATATAGATGTACCTGGCAAATATAAAGATTTTCTTGCAGAAAATACCAGTTTTTTATTATTATGTCCGTATTTTGGCGTTAAAGCTTGGATAATGGGACGCTCTGTATTTCTTAAAAGCAAATATTAAAAACTTTAAAAAATTAAAGTTCAATTGTTTTCTAAATTCAACATTTTATAGAAATACAGGGAAATGAGGGAAAACAGATCCAGAGATTTTTATTTTCTTAAACGCTGAATTTGTGAGATAGATATTTAAATACTGATTGCATGGTTATATCACAACAGAAGCTTTATCCATTTATTCCTATAATTAAATTAGTAATTAGCATTAGCAACTGTCTATACAATTGAATGGAAACCATGTTGACTGAATGTGATGGAGTTTTTGTGAATTATATTAAAATTTGATGTCTTTTTTATTTAAAAACAAAGTGTTTAATTTTTATTTTTTACAAAATGGGAATTAAAACTTAAATTAGCTAGATATGAATATTTTGAGAGATTTATAGAGTTAGAAGAAAATTGAATTTACGCTAATTTTATGGAGTTTGAAGGTATCTATGAATGTCGTCTTCTGAATAGGTATGTTCAAATTTTTTTTTGATTTTTTACATAACCTCTGAATACGTTGAAACAAGAACTAACTAGTCGGCGATGGATAATTCTTTTCTGTTTTACACAAGAATGATACCATGTTCAATTATTTGAAGCCCTTTTATAAATAACTAAAGAACATTAACGCAATTCTATAGAGGGGGAGGGAGGCAACCTGATTTCGCTCCCCTCATCGCACTAGACTCTAGCATGATCATGATTGTGGACCATCTTTTATCAACTTTTGCCAATTAAGAAAAACAAACAAAAAACATTTTTCTTCGCTTCGCGCACTACTAGAATCATGCCACTATTTTCTCTTGATCAACTTAAACCTCAGATAAGAATTATATCGAACTATTAGGACTTTTGGTTTCAATCCACATAGCAGAATGGTGCTAATTGGCTATAAATATTAAATCCAACCATGAATGTCTCGTGATAAGTTCTATCTATCCTATGCTATGAAACACTTAGTTGTTAAAGTTTGCTAACATTTACGAAACTCTCAAGATCATTACTTCAGGATTTGTCTTTGTTCCCCAATTACAATCTGCCCTTGTTATCTATATAGGTGGGGTGGGCCTCTTGTTTCAGGGTGGTCGAGTTCTCGTGATTAAAAAAAAGTATTTTTTATTAGTTTCGGGTCAAAATTTGAGCTAGGGCCTAACCACAACCCCTATACGGCCAGATTACCAATATCAAACGAATATATTCTGCTTTATTCTATACATACCACCCTAAACTAAACTTCCAGTGTGTACTGCAGTACATCTGACCGGAGAAATAGTTGGTTTTAGCGAAGAGTGATACGATTAAATCAATTAGATCACTTACATTATTAGTAAAAAAACTGGTAGATTTGAAGACGACATTAAAAACTGAATCTCAATAAGTGGTTCAGAATTCACAAGTTCTGTAAAAAATCACAATTCACAAATGTTTAACCTCGCCAGTTACCAGTCATACTTCTTTTTCTCTGAAATGAACATTAAGCGCACATTTACAATAAAACTTCAATTGATTCCCATCTTACGGCGGTTCAGAAAATGGATTAAAAATACAAATATAATTGCAGAAAAATAACTGTCCGGTTTGAAATATTTGTACAAAATACTGAATTCGAAATTGTTATTTTATGTTTATAAATTACAGCGAGAAAATATATGAAAATATAGTTGATTGTCTGCATTAATTCATGTGGATTTAAATATATTTAACAAATTCACAAAAATATTAAAGTTTCACTGTTTACAAAAAAGTGACAGATTTATAACACCTAAAAGAACCATTGTATGCGCTGTGGTGTGCGAACGCAGGAATTATTTTCGTAAATAATTTCCTGTCATCCCTCTTTTCAAGCAAATTTTAACCGAATAAGTTCAAGTCTTTCGAATGGAATATAAACTTCAGATAAAATTAAATAAATAATTTTCCTAAAAAACTTCAACATTATCTATATGATAAAACAGGCATTCGAAAATATACCCGGCCAAGCGGCTAGACCGAATGGGCTGAATTTTTTTTGTGGACACCTATGGGTAGCCTGAGGAAGACATTGGCATAAAATAATTCGAAGTTTTTTTTAAATCTTGTATTTTTTTTACAGGGAAACGCCGGGCCCTTCAGCTAATTTTACCATATAATAATTTTGATAATTCCTACTTAAAATCGTGAGACCTCTTAGACTTGTAATTTAAAATTAATAGTGGGTTAAGCCAATTTTTTATATTTTTGATAACGTTTTAAAGAAAATTGTTTTAACAGTAGCTCAAAATCAACCTATGAATCGTACTCACAATTACTTTGTTCCATGTTTATTGGATTATTTAAATTAACTTCAAGAAAGCACTATGTGAAAACCAGAAACCAAATTTATTAAATTACGAGCATGAATTCTCTAACCCGCTCACGTTAAAGAGATGTGATTAAACTTAATGTAAGTAGTTCAGCTAATTCTCTCAATTCATTAAATTTGGTCTCAGGAAGCGCAAAACAAAATTCATTTAATTTGTCTGTGCCATTTCCATTTCTACACGCAATTCTGCAGTCCTTAGGATCCGCATCCGGATCCGTTGGATCCGCCAGATTTTGACTTCCTGGATCCGGATCCGCAAAAATATGCGGATCCACGGATATATCCGGCTCCAAGGGGCAACATTTTTTTCTTTAACTATTTCACCGACTTCCTATTTGCAGTTATATATATAAAGGAATGTTTGACATCTTTAATAACTAGTTACTTAAGGCGGTCAATTACATAAAAGGACGTAACATCGGTACAATATTAGGAAAACTAACTTTTTTGCTTCTCAAGTATCCTTGACCTTGACCAAAAACTTGAGTAAGTACTGACCATCACCTAGCTGTAAGACTAATTCACAACGGTGTCCTTTAAACAGCTCAAGTATAGCAGTATTAATTTACAAATGTTTTTTACAATAACAAAATACAATATTTTTCATCACAGCATATTAAACTGATACATTTTATCGCAAAGGTGATACAAAAAATGTAGCAGGTGTTAAAAATTGTAAAACTTTGAATGTAAAAATACTCGAATTACAAACATTGTTACAAAATTATAAATTGTTTAGGGACATTTGTTGTAAAAAAATACGTTTTAAACTATTTTCTAAAAAATATGGTAGTCAATTGTTTCTTCTATTATGCTAGAATATTATCGTGGCTAAATCCAAGAAGAGGTAAAATAACATAATACAATTTTGATTAAAATATACAAAATAAAATACTTTTAACACATTTAAATCAGAACTCTGTTGTCACATTAGTATATACAAATAACAAAATAATAATATAAAAAAAAACTAAAAGATTTGGAAGAAGACAATTGATTTTTCCTTCCCTTTGTTTAATAAATTTTCTCTAAAATGTATTTAAGTACTTACAATAAAGTAAATAAAATTGTACTTTACGGGTGCGTACACTGTACACTGTACATCAAAATTCAATATAGCAAGTGTAATTGTACTGCTGAAGTGTGCAAGTCCTTAATAGTGAACACGGTACATGACATTGCAATTTGCAGTACATGTATCTTTTGAAAACAAATTCAGCTTAAGGCACCAATACTGTCGTTATAGTTAAATTCTGTTGATTGACGATGCAATCCGCACTACAGTACACTAACCAGCAGTACATTTCGACACTACAGTACATTTCGACACTACAGTACACTCTAACCAGCAGTACATTTCGACACTTCAGTACAATCTAACCAGCAGTAAATTTTGACACCACAGTACACTCTAACCAGCAGTACATTTCGAAACCACTGTACACTTTAACCAGCAGTACATTTCGACAATTTTTACTGGTTGCGTTTAATGTCTCTCTCTGCCAGATAGTCGACTGGAGTTGTTACATGAACCTAAAATATTAAAAAAAAAATAAAATAAAAAAAGGACAAATATCATGGTTAATCGAGAAATTTATTTATTTAAAAAGAGTTTCATTTGACATCTTAGTGGCCTTAAAAAACCTTTGCTTGTTTGTATCTCAAAAACGTCAAAACTGCTAAACCGATTAGATCAACTCAAATTTGTTGGAGGATCTCATACAGGGGTAAATGTTTTTAACCTCCACCCCCAAGGGAAGGTTTATGGTTTTTAACCTCCACCCCCAAGGGAAGGTTTATGGTTTTTAACCTCCACCCCCAAGGGAAGGTTTATGGTTTTTAACCTCCACCCCCAAGGGAAGGTTTATGGTTTTTAACCTCCACCCCCAAGGGAAGGTTTATGGTTTTTAACCTCCACCCCCAAGGGAAGGTTTATGGTTTTTAACCTCCACCCCCAAGGGAAGGTTTATGGTTTTTAACCTCCACCCCCAAGGGAAGGTTTATGGTTTTTAACCTCCACCCCCAAGGGAAGGTTTATGGTTTTTAACCTCCACCCCCAAGGGAAGGTTTATGGTTTTTAACCTCCACCCCCAAGGGAAGGTTTATGGTTTTTAACCTCCACCCCCAAGGGAAGGTTTATGGTTTTTANTAGGAAAATATACATTATACACACGTGTACCACGTAGGGGTCTTTACCTGAAATAGCGAGGAGCATTCCTCCCACGTTGGTGAGGTTGACCGGGTTCTTCAGAAGCAGTAGCGAGACAGTTATCACAGAGATACGTTTAGTTACATTTGCAACAGCATACGTCAACGGAACTACCAACTAAAATAATTTCAATCAACAAAACTACCGACAAGAATGATTTCTATCAGTAAATGTCATTAAACAAAGGTATTAAGTTCAGGAAAAGAATAATCAACGGTAGAGGAACTGCAAGGAAACATAGTAAGAAAGAGGAAAAATTAAGAAAGGAATACAAAATATCAGGAAAAGACGAATTAATGGTTGTGGAACAAAGGAGAAAAGAGGGAAGAAAAGGGAAAAACCGGGGTAAAACCGAGGAAAGAATATGGAGGATCAGAAAAAGAAGAACCAATGGCAAAGAGATTATAACTAGGAGAAAACAGAGAAAGTAAAAGGAAACTAAGAAAATAATTCAGATGATAAGAAAAAGAAGAAACAATTACACTAAAGGACTGAGAACTAGGAGAAAACAGAGAAAGAAAGAGGAAAACATAAGAAAAGAATACAGAAAATCATGAAAAGAAGAACCAATGATAGAGATTATAATTAGAAGGAAGCAGAGGAAGAAAGAGGAAAACATTAGAAAAGAATACAGAGAATCATGAAAAGAAGAACCAATGATAGAGATTATAATTAGAAGGAAGCAGAGGAAGAAAGAGGAAAACATAAGAAAAGAATACAGAGAATCATGAAAAGAAGAACCAATGATAGAGATTATAATTAGAAGGAAGCAGAGGAAGAAAGAGGAAAACATTAGAAANGGAGGAGTAGGGGGGAGGAGGAGGGGGAGGAAACTTCCAACTTTATCCAAACAAATTTGATGGTGTCAATCCCTTGTCAAGAAAGGTGTAATATCTGTCCAAAAATATTATTTTTTTCCGTCATTTTGTAACAGGAAACATTTAGTGATAGGAAACATTTTGTGATAGGAAACATTTAGTGATAGGAAACATTTTGTGATAGGAAACATTTTGTGATAGGAAACATTTTGCGACAGGAAACATTTTGCGACAGAAAAAAATTAGTGATAGGAAACATTTAGTGACAGGAAATATTTTGCGAAAGGAAACATTTTTTTAAGGGAAACATTTGACAAATGAAACTTTTTGTGGAAGGTTAGATCAAGTTTTGTAGCATGAACGTTTTGTGGTGGAGTTGTGATGTAAGGAAACGTTTTGTGGTGGAAATGTAATATGAGGAACCGTTTTGTGGTAGAACAGATATTGTGGAGGTCAAGTTTTGTAAAGGAAACATTTTGTGTAGAGAACGTTTTGTGTAGGGAGCGTCTTGTGGCAGGAAACGTTTTGTGGTGGAAATGTGAAATGTTAGAAAACGTTATGTGAGATAACATTTTGTTCCTAGGAAACCTTTCATGGGGAAACGTTTTGTAAGTGCTCTGAGAGTTTATTTAGTCTGGGGCCGAATACAATATATTTGAACTGCCTACCACTGGTTCAAATTAGAACCATCGATTCATACCCTTCCTTGATCTTTCACTTTGAATCGATAGTTCAAATTTGAACCGGCAGTAGGTAGTTCAGCGACGTAGCTCTAATTTATTAAATTCGGTCCCTGTTTTCTTACATTAATGGTTCCCTGCAGCCTTTTATCTTACATTACAATGCAATGCATTCAAAGAGTTTCATGTCGTCATAAAGTCTTATCTTTGGTGAGTAACCCTGTAGAATTAAGATAAATTTGCTAAAATCTGAAATAATACCTTGAGTAAGGTGAAAGCCATGATGTTTTGCAGCCAATGAAGGATACCATCAACTAGTAACAAACCAAGTATCTCTGTATTAAACTCAGCTCCTAGCCTTGGCAGGTCAACCTTAATATGGTCAGGATTTATTCAAGTTATGTACAGGGTTTATTCAAATTATTTGCAGGGTTTATTCAAATTATGTACAGAGCTTGTTGAAGTTTTATACAAGGTATATTAATTTTCAGTACAGGGTTGATTCAAGTTATGTACAGGGTTTAGTAAAATTATGTACAGGGTTTATTCAAGTTATGTAAAGGGTTTATAAACGGTATGTACAGGGTTTATTCAAGTTATGTACAGGGTTTATTTAAGTTATGAACTGGGTTTATTCAAGTTATGTACGGGTTTTTTTCCAGTTATGTATAAGGTTTATTCAAGTTATATTACAGGGTATATTCAAGTTATGTACAAGGTTTATTCAAGTTATGTACAGGGTTTATTCAAGTTATATTACAGGGTATATTCAAGTTATGTACAGGGTAAATTCAAGTTATGTACAGGATTTATGCAAGTTATGAACAGGGCTTATTTAAGTTATGTACAGTGCAAGATATGATCAAGTTATCAAAAATATTGATGCTATTTATGACTTTAAAAATTGAAATATTTCTCTGTCACTCATAACTACTAACTGGAGGCAAACCTTCCCTGAGCTAGCAATTGAAACTTGAAAGTAAATACATATCATAAACCAGATATGAAAAAGTACAAGTGCTGCCACTTTTTATGTGCTTTAAGCGTAATTTCAATTGACCCTTCATGCAAAAGTGGTAGTTCCCGATTCAAAATGTGGAAGCTAAGTCGTTTTCCTGACTCGGAAAAGTGTTTGATTTTGATGATTTCTCCATTGCTTCTTAGAAGCAAGAAATCATGGATATCTAATTCAAATTTAAACAGACAGATCTTTTAAGGGTACTGTTGTAAATCGGGCATTGCCATCTTTGCATGGAGCAGTGCAGGATCTATTTAATTTTCATGCTGATCCGGATCTAGAAAAAAATGGATCCAGGTCATGGGTTTATTTCTTTCATACCCGATTTTTTTTTACAGAAGAAATTTTTTTAATTATTTTTATGTTAAAAAAATGTTTATGCTTAAACTGAACCATTCCGAAATAAGGAAATTTATTTATTGAACGGAGGGGAGCTCAAGCCTTCAACCTATATTGAAGGTTTGACAACGATTATAATTATTATTATTATTATTATTGTATCTATCTTTTTTTAACAGTTGGGTTTTGTGGGAAAATTTTTTTTATTTTAGTTTATGGTCAATATTTAGCCCCTTGGATCCGTAGATATTATTGTGGATCCAGGAGGCCAACACGTGGGTCGGACCCGGATCCTAAGCTCTGGCATGGAAGGTCGAAGGTCACTTGTAACTAGGCTAACAGTCCCTTTAAAGAATTACCAGAAGCCAAACAGGAAAGAAAAGAAGTGCTGCCATCTGCCCAAGCTTGTGTAATAAACGGAGATGATGCATACCGGTTTCTCTAAAATATATTTAATATTAAAGTGATTGTACCACAATTCTGTAAAGTCTACAATTTTTAGACAAAACTTCAGGAAAAACTCCATTTTTAGAGTGGGGCATGTACGCTTCAAAACGGTTGCCTTAAAAACTTTTACTGATCAAGAATGAATGAATGAGATATTCATGATTTTTCTTTGAAAAATTTGTTATTTCACTTTTGATTTCTCTTTTAAATTGACTTTTTAATAATTGAGAAAACTGTGTGCATTGAAAATTGTTACAAGAAGAAAAACGACAATATCTTCCACATTATTGATCAGATAAATGTTTAAAGGGTACAGCTGTGAATCAGGCATGCAGACTCAATTGAAATCACAACAGTTCTTAATCATTTGCTCGCAATACAACTACTGATTGATTTGAAAACTAAATACAAGTCTTAAAAAGTCTAAAAATTAAAAAATTGATCTTCTTACTTCAGGGCTTGTTTGCTGAAGATGTTCATCAAAGAAAATCCTGAAAAAAAAAATTTGACAACAAAACTAAAACAAAAACTTGACTGACATTGAAGATTATTTAGACAAAACAACAAATACTTCTTTTGTTAAATAGTCCCATTGCTAAAAGAGAAGAAAAAATTGTAGCTCAAGAAAACAAACTTAAATGTGAACATATTTGTTCGGTTTTTTTCAAATCATATATACATATACATTTTTTCCTAGAAAATAATCTTCTTTAAAAATTTGCAAACAACATGGTTTTGGTAGCTTTTTGAAAATATCAGAATATTTTAAGTAAAAAACTCTAGACTCCAATATTTATTCTGAAATACTCCTTAAATTTAAACATCTTATAATGATAATTTTCATAATCAATGGGAATTCAAAAATATATAATATATTTATATAAACGAAAAGATACTTTTTGAATTATATAAATTAATTAGTTTACGTTTTTATAAAATCAAAAATCATTCAACAAATTACACATGAACAATTTCTAAACTTTAAAAAATATATCTCACACTGTAAATATAAAATTATACTTCAGAAGAAATATTAGTGTGAAAAAACTTGAATTGGTGTCGTAAAACATCACAAAATGGTTTCTTTATGCATGAATAAATAACATTAAAATGGTAAAATTTATAAATATTCGCCTGATAATTGTCAAAACGTTAAATGCGAGTTTTTAGTTCATAATACCAAAACAAACAAACAAAATTATAAAAAACGTTTACAAAAAAATCTAGTTTAAGGCTTACCTGCAGTAGCAGCTAACGCACTCCCTAGTCCAATTATATCAAATGATATTTCTGTTACTGTGGCAACTGCCACTCCAAACACTGTAATTTTCAGTAGAAATATAAACAGACAACAGAAACAAATAAAGTGGTAGGCGATTATATCAATATACAATAAATACGACTAAAATTTAAATAGAAATGTGTCTTTATTGTTTTTAAAAAAGCGACGACGACTGTAGAACAAAAAATATAGTTACATATACTTAACTTGTCAGTCCGTTTGTTTGTAACCGATAAACGTCAAGTCAGAGCGGCTGAACCGATGGGGCCCAAAAATTTGCCTCCAAAAAAATTCGATTTCCATAAAATTTCATAAAATAAAACAATGTAGGTCAATTAAACACCGTTATGAAAAGAAGAACTATGTATATGTCCAGGCATAATACTTTTTATTGTGATGTGTACTGCGTATATTTTGTGAACATTTTCAGGTTCATAGGGCCTGAAAACATCCTACCGAGGGAAACTCTTATCTTTTCTCTATTAAAATATTATGTTTTCTGTGACTCCTTCTCATTTATAAAAAAGTAATCTGTGCAGTGTGCAATCCTACCAATTTATAAAATAAAAAATTTCTAAAAATTATATTTATTTTCCATTTGAATTTGTAATTCTTAGAGTACTTTTGGTCGTACCAGGCACTGAATGTAAAAAGAAAAAACACATGTGCTTGTGCAGTGAATTCAAAAATTTCATAATTACACAAAACAAGAAGACTTTAATTAAGTTTAATGGATTCATCCTTAACATCTATTTAAACGTCATGAAATAGCGGATTTTTTTACTTAAAACCCGTATATCAAATATTTAGAAAACGAACAATAAAATAAAAAAATTAAATGAATAAAATAAATAGTCCACTTTTTTATGCCTTTTTCCAAAAAAAATCGGTCATGATAGCGCACCTGTCTAGACTTTAAATACATATAATTATTGCCATGAAAATTGAATTAAATAAACTTCTTGTCAGAAAAAAATTTTCCACCTTGAGATTTTTTTTCGAACATTTTTTATCACGTTAGAGCTTTTCATCCATGGATAAACCTGATCAAGAGAATTTTAAAAATTCAATGTTTCATAGTATCTAACTTCTTTGAAGATGACTGATGAAGAAAAAAGTCAAGAAGTAAGAGGCGTTTGAAGAAAAAGTTTCTAATTTGTAAATTATAGAACTAGAAAAAAATATATGAAAAAATCGTATTATTCTGAAGGGGATTGTCGTTATAATTTCAAGTAACCACCCCGCCCTGGGGGAGGGGGGTTAATTTTTGATGACTTGGAAGGGGAAAAAATTAAAAATTAGAGAAAAAATGCACATGCATGTATAACTTTTGGGGAAAAAATAATTTAGAAAAGTAGGGGGGAGGGGGGGGGAAGGGGAAAGGGGAAAGGAAACTGATATATTGGGAAAATAAACAGTAAACAGTGAATACAGTATACAGTATACACCCCTGAACCCTCTATTTAGTATAAATGTGCAAGTCACATTTGTAGAAAACAGACAACGAAACTAAATCCATTTCAAATTATAAACATTGACATATATTTCATACTTGATCAGACGAAGCTTGTAATGGTACCAATATGAATTACGCATGCCACTCTCTGAATGGAGGATACCTTTAAGTTACTTCTACAGAGCCTTTAAATATGATTTTTGTATGTTCTACTGATTATATCCCTATTGGTAGAAGTGACAAGTAAAGGGAGTAGCTGTGCGTCTCTCCTAAAATAAAATAATAAATCAAACATTTTAAAAATAACTATTTTTTTTTTAAATATTCAAATATTTGAATTAAATCAAATAAATTCTCCTGTGGTTGTGATAGAAGTAATTTTTACAAAAAGTAAATAATAAATATTAAAAATTTCCGTTACCTAATAATATTCTAGAAATTAATACTGTAAATATTGGCATGGATGCTTTGACTGTGTGCGCATACGAAACAGGAACCTAAAAAGGGATTCAAATCAATCAATAAATCGATTAATCGATCAACTAAAACATAACTCGTTAAATGAATCAATTTATTGAGATACTGAACGCTAATTGATCAAATAATATCCCCATAAATCAAACAATTTATCAATCAATTTATGTTTATAACCAACCAACAAATTACTTAAAAGGATTGTAAGAGTAATGTCAAGTAACCCTCCATGCAAAGATGGAAATGTCAGATTTACAACGGTACCCTTAAAACTTTTATCTGATCAATAATGAGGAAGAAATTGTCGTTTTCCTAGGTTTTTAAGTATTTAACCTTGTAATTCCAATATGTGTAATTCCAATATGTTTTCCTGCAGTAGAAATTCACTTTTTTAGAAAAAACACTAATAAAAATAATCAGTTTTCCAAAGTTATGAACATTGATATCTAATTCATATTTGATCAGACAGAACTTTAAGGGGACAATGATACTTACAGTCCCTTTAATAGCTCGTCTAACTCACCTTCCAAATGGAAATATGCGCGAGAACACTGGATAAGAATTTGCCTAGGGCTAAACAGCAAAACATTTAATTATTTGTACGACATAAAAATAAAATCTATCTACTAAAACATGTTAAACAGAAAAATAAAATGCTTGTGTAAAAACTAACATAAACTGAATATAACTTCAAGTTCAACACGAAAGAATCTCTTCATTTTATAACATTTCAGTTTTTAGGATCTCAAAAAGCTTCTCAAGAAAATGAAAAGTTTACCGAGTTTTATAATTATTTGTCTTAAATTTGTTGCTTTGATTAAATCATGCAAACTGTTGACTCTGACGAAGACATAAAACGATTTCAAGCCTATATCTTCTATCAACTCAAACAAGGTTCGTTCCTCGTGAAATTGCATTCAGTGTTTCAAGACTTGAACCGGCGCTCAATTGGAACCAGTTTTTGGCCATTCAGCGACGCGGTTTAAATTATTAAAATTCGATTTCTGATGTAATATTTTTCAAATAATAAATCCAGTAAATAATCTGAGAATTTTGTAAACCCCGTGAAATATCAGTAATTGTTTAAAAAACAGATGCGTGACACTAAACCAGGGGTGTAGGTTTTAGATGATTTGGGGAAAAATTGAAAATTGAAAATCAAAAGGCAAGTTTTTTTTATTCTTTGATACTTTCTTTACAATGCACCCTTCCCCCTCATTTTTTTTCACTTTTTAACAATTTCAATATATTGCATTTGTTTATTATTTCATTTATCTCTGTGATAATTTTCTGCAAGAGTTAAGACCTTTTAGCCAAAAAGGACAGTCTATAGTTTGTTTAAGATTTTCGATAACGGGATTAATTGTAACTATTAAATATCAATATATACAAAGAAATATTGAATCAGAAAAAGCTTCGTAGAAACAGGGTTTTAACGAATGTTTGCATTCCTAAAGGAATTAACATCTTTTTATGATAGCTCCAGGTAGAAGACTCGTACTGTCTCACATCTAAAACCTGAAATAAGAATATCAAATTAAACCAGGAAGAAGGATTAAGGATATAATTACTTTGCAAAGTGAAAAGGAGTCATAGTTCTAATTTAAAAGTCGTTAAAATAATAAGGTGATTTTTTATGAAAAAAACTCCTAACCAAAAGTAATCTAGACATTTTACAAAAAAGCAATGTTTATAATTTTTAAAACAGCTGAATTTTAATAGCGATTTCTCTACAAACTAGAATTGCGAATTGCAGGAAAACTTTAAGGAATTTAAAATTTGTATAACAAGAAAAATGACAATATCTTCCACTCTACACGGTGGACTAAGCCAGTGGGGTCGGTCAAATAGGCCTAGGATTAGACCGGGGGTACTGTAAAAAGTCTGAACGCGCCATGGGAGTTGTCATAGTTAGCCCTCCGACGGGACTTTGCCAAGAAAATTGACCCCTGTCGTATGTTAGTATGGTTAGGGCGACGTACTGTACCATAGGATCGGGTCAGTACACGCTGTTATCTGGCAAACCGGTACAAACTGGGCAGGTCCTATTCGAATTCAAATTTATTACGGTCCAGAGTGACTATTGAAAAAGGTTTTAAGGCCACCATTATAAATCAAGAAAAGGCATCCTTGCATGGAGGACCTCTTGTAATTATGCTAACAGTCCCTTTAATATCAATTTATTCAATATTTTACCTTTAGCATAGGAACTGACCAGACTGCTATAGATGTGAGCTGAACCATTGTTACGGTCATGGGATAGGGGAACTGGGATAGTATCATCTTTCCTACAAAATACAGGGGGTCTCTTAAATAAAGGTAGTTGAAACAAATGTCTCAATTCTGACCGGATTTTTTTGTACATTAAAATTTCTGACCTTGTATAATGTTTGATGTATAATGTATAATGTATAATGTATAATGTATAATGTATAATGTATAATGTATAATGTATAATGTATAATGTATAATGTATAATGTAATAATGTTTAATGTTTAATGTTTAATGTTTAATGTATAATGTTTAATGTATAATGTATCATAACTTTGATTCATGTTTTAAGTCACAAAAATCCTTCGATCCTTATTATAACTTTTTCCTATTGATGCCAAGCCTCAAGTTGTACCGACCTTTTGATTTTTGGGACCAGTGCTTAGGATCCATTTAATTTTGATGCGGATTCGGATCCGGATCCGGATCCTGGATCCGCAATGGAAAAAAATGGATCCGGATCCGGATCCAGGTCATTTCTTTAAGATTTGCTGATTTTTTTAAACAAAAAAATAATTTTCAAATTTTTTGTTTTATTTTTTTCGCTTGTTTTTATTAACTATTCAGAAATGATGAAATATTTATAATCAGAATTTCAGAATTGGGGTTTAGGACTAAAAAAGTTTTTATTGCAGTTTTTAGTTGATATTTTACCCTTTGGATCCGGATCCGGATCCTAAGCACTGTTTAGGAATAAAATTAATTTACGAAAAAAAAACATAATATAATGTTTTTTGATCAAAATAGACCGGACTTCTTCATAGATTATTGTGATGTCAAAAGAAGACACTTTAGATATATATTTTCATAATTCCCTCTCCATTCAAGACTTATACCCACAGTTGTTTCCGCTGTATGACACTGTTTTCCAAAATCACAAAGGTAGACAAAAATATACTTTTTAGGGGGGGGGGGTGCTTTTTATACCTGTGAAAATCATCTAGAATTATTGACTTTATTTACAAAAATAATTTAAAAAATATAACAATAACCTTGGCAAAAGCTAAAATTAGGTATTTCTACAAGTGGCAATATTTAATTAAATATTTTCATTTCGTGCTAGGAGTATTACAATTATAGAACGCTTAAAGATGAATGAAAGTCTAATTTTGAAATATTAGTTAAAATGTCTTCAAAAAAAGAAACAAATGACAAATGCTTGGGTAACATGTATAAAATGAAACAATTAAAATTTCACATAAGGGAACTATAGGCCTAATTTTATAAGACCTAACAATAGTACCCTAACCTTAAACCTTTGACTAACTGACGAACTAGATTAATCCATAGAAAACCTTGCAATTTGTTGATAACTTCGTTTGCAAGCTGTTTTGAATTACAGCGAACCAAAATTTAAGAGATAAACACACAGATTACTCTGTCGTCGATGATTAGGCGAAGGTTTAAAGGGTACAGTTGTTAATATACAAATGGAGGGTCACTTAAAACAACGCGTACAGTCCCTTTAATTAAAAAAAAAAGTATGTTTGCTAGCCAAAACGGGTTAAGTTTGAAATGCAAAAAGGTCAAAATTTGGATTTGAATCACTTCAAATTAACTTTAACAAGGTTCTTATTTTGAGAATTATGCCAAGCTTTAGAAAAATAGATTTGGGCTCATTTTTAAGTATAAATTTGTCTGGTGAGCATTTATAGTTTTAATGCAAAAAAAGAAAGAAAAAAAGTTAGAAAGTTAGAATCGGCAGATGCGATTAGACTCCTACGTTTATTGAAAACAGGAAAAACTTATTAATCCATAATCATATTGAAATTAATATTATCAATATCATGTACCCGGGATTTTTTAAGAAGTGTTTTAAGATTTGTTTAGTTTTAGACGTATTATACGCCTTCGTTCCTTAGACAAAGATTTCAAAGGTACTGATGTGAGCTGTTTAGTGTTTACAGCCTGCGGCGCCTCAGAAGGCTTAACCTAACCTTTGGGAAGTTGTCGCTTGGGAAATTGCACAATTGGGAAAATGCCTTTGGGAAAATACCCAACATAATTGTTCATATATTCCTATCAAAAGGAAAAATGTTACCTAGCACTCCATTACTTGAGCTGACAATATACCAGCAGATGCATATAAAAATTATCCGTAAAAATTCTCTGGAATAAAAAAAAACATTCATTTGATTTCCTAGAATGAATTGGTTATCTTTGGATAAAATTTCTCCTAAAAATAATAAGATGTGAGATATCTCTCAAAAATGTAAAACCCAGAAACAAGGGTGTACACTATACACTGTACATTTTCTTAAAAAAATTATTAACTCTTCAGAAAAACATTTTTCCCCTAGTAATATATCACTAAGGACAAACAAATATAGCTCTTCATATCCATTTTTTTTTCAGGTTTTTTCGGGAAATAGAGTTAAAATAAATGCTAAAAGAAACTCAAAAAGTATTATCGTGAAAATATATTTCACTTCTAAGTTCTTAACGGAGGATTTTATTCAATAAAATCGTACTCCCTATTTTTCTGTTGATGATCATTAATCAGAATTGTTTTGATAATAAATTCAAAGTATGTTTTTTTCCTTAAGTCTTGCTTTGTAATCTGAGACATGATGATCGGTTTTTAAGAGTTGTGATGCTATGTTAATCCATCTTGTATCAGACTGTTTTCTTGTCTAGACAGAACATTTTTCAATAAATATGTGATTTACATTCATTCTTCACAAAGTAGATAAGAACATTTAAATATACATTAAGACCTATAAAACTGGGAAATAGCTAAACGACTAAACGACTCAAGTTATCATGATGAAAAGTCAAATAAACATGCAAGTAACACAACAATTATAATTCTGTCGAGAACGCAGACCCATTTCATTTTTTAAAATTTGATTTTCAAACTACTAATAAACATTGTGCCTTTTAACAACATTAAATACAAAGCTCTGAATATCTTTATTCTATTTCTCAGTTTTATGTTAAAAAAAAATATATTTTATAAATATATGTTAATAATTCTAACTGAAATGTACAACGTGGCCCGGGACCAGATTTAATGAATTTGAGCTAGGTCTACTCTAATGACGGTTCAACCACGTATCCTGAATCGGTGGTTCAGGATTTTTCAATTGATAATAATTAGGTAAACTGCAAAACTCTAGATAGGTATTTGAATCGACGGTAGGAAGTGCAGCGACCTAATCGACCGTAGGAAGTGCAGCGACCTAATCAATGGTAGGAAGTGCAGCGACCTAATCGACGGACGGTAGGAAGTGCAGTGACCTAATCAACGGAAGTGCAGCGACCTAATCCACGGTAGGAAGTGCAGCGACCTAATCAACGGTAGGAAGTGCAGCGACCTAATCAACGGAAGGAAGTGCAGCGACCTAAATAAAACTCATCAAATTCAGTCCCAGTAAACTTTAAAATTAGGGTTTAAAAGTTTCATATGTCAAGATTTAAGATACCAGTAATTAAGTATGAATTGAAATAAATGTTTATCAATCAATCAATCAATCAATCATATGTCAAGTATTTCTGTTAAGTTGGCTGTAGGTAACAGTAAAACTATCAATTATTAATTTAGACGCTCAGCTATGTCAGGACTAGCTGAACTACCAAACGTCAGCAACGTATACAATATTTGAATCTTTCCTAAGGAACACTTTTATCCAAAAATCGTTCACTAGGAAATTACCATTCCTTGTTTCTTGATTTACACCGTCCCGTTCCCACTTCTCATATTCAATAAAATTTGTTTCTGAAAATAATAATTAATTCTTCGATAGAATATAAACCAAATATAAACTAAAGTCATAAGTCGATTCATTAAATGTTTAATACAAACTGTATTGTAATCACAAATAAATCCGCATAGTAACATAAACCAAATGCGTGAAACTATTTATAGAACAAAAAAGTTATCTAACATAACTTTTCATTTATGAATCATATTTTTTAGACAGTGTACAACCGTACAATTAGTTCAAAATTGTAAATTATGTTATGTAATTGTGAAAGTCTCGTACACTGCACGCACTGACTGACAAGTGATAGTTCAAATATTGTCTGCAAAATATACCATACACAAAACAGCTGTTAGAACACGTAGCAGTAACTTCACGCAGTCTTGACTTTTCAGTTGGGACTTCACGCAGTATTAGTAGTAAATAATTACACGCATTTATTACAGACGAAAATATTATACAAATCATAAAAACTGAAAATTGTTGATTCCATTTTGTTTTATTTAAGATTACAGGAATGTCGTCTTTAAGTCATTTTCGGTTTTAATTTTGCCAACTCAATCCACAGGCGACAGGACTGTAATCAGGGGGGGGGTGCAAGGGGACAGGTGACCCCCCTTTCTCAGGGGATGCAATGACGAATATGCACCCCCCCCCCTTTTAGATAAGTTGTTTGGTAAAATCTTCTCTTGAAAACTTGAGATAAAAGTTTTATAAATTTGTTATCATCCTGCAGTATCCATTATTTCTTCCGACCACACATATTTTTCGTCCGGCATTGTTTACAACCTTTTTTAAAGTACTTTAAATTTTTATTATTAATGGTTTCGGGTATGAACACAGGTAGTTAGCAGAACCCTGCCGGAATTCAGAGAAACTTATCATCCTTTTTTTTAATAAGTTAATGATTTTCATCAACTAGACAAATAATGTTAAAGATAAAAGTTCTTAGAACTCAATCTCTTACTCCAACTTTCACCTTATTGGTCAGCTAAAGATATCAAGGATACACCGCTGTAAATCGAGGGCAATTGCCACCTTTGCCTGGAGGGTAAGACTGGGCGTGTTCCTATTTTTTTTTAAATAGTTCATTCCCTTCAGTTCCCTTTGTTTCCGTGAAAGAACGATCGTTCTACAGGAACGACGCCCAGTCCATGAGCTGGGCGTGTTCCTATTTTTTTTAAAGCGTTCGTTCCCTTCTGTTCCGTTCCATTCGTTCCCGTGAAAGAACGATCGTTCCCCAGTAACAACGCCCACTTCTATAATGGAGGGTCTCTCTCTTGAAAAATTACACTTTCAGTCCCTTAAATTAGCCTTTCAGAAACAAATTGAATAGAAATTCGTGTATATTTTTTAATAAAATTATGGTAAAAACCCTTTATCTTTTTTTTCACAAACACTCCCTTTATAATTTCCCCTTTTATACTTCCCTTTTTCATATCATTCCGCCTTTTGTGTCGAACCCTGGATGAAAGGAAAGTTTTGTGTCAATTTGTTGGTATTTTAGAAACAAACTTTTCGTCACGCTGAGTTTTAATTGAAAAACTTTATAATTCAAAGTTAGCAAGATTTTAGCATTCAAAAATCATTTTTGGAGAAAAAAAGTAATTTTTGTTGACGGTCTAAACTACAAACTAAAATTTTCTAATCCCTATATCTTTTCAATCTGATGTTTAAGCCTTTAAAGGGAGTGTTCGCGAAAAATGAAAGGGAGGCTTACGTCGAAAAATTATCTATGGTGATCGCTACTATATCTTACTTCTATCTGTTGCGTCTATAAGGAGAAATTTGTTAAAAACAACTCACACCGAAGTACGTAGCGTCCATGCAAATTCAGAAAGTTAAAAATTTCGACTCGGATCGTAAAAAACCAATTTAATTCCAAAAAAGCATTCAGATATTACAACCTATAATCATCGATAATCTTTCAATGCATTCGTATAAAGTGGAATTCATAATATTTTTTTTTGTTTTTAAATAATATTTATAGATCACAACTTGTTTTACGCCTGGCGCTGGATTTTTGAACATTCCTGGAAAATAAGAAAATGTCGTCTTCATGTTTTTAGAAGTAAGTCTCAAATCATAAAAAATAAAAAATAAAAAATATAATGAAATATCAACTATTACGAATTCTTGAAAAATTATCGATGATTATAGGTTGTACTTGTAATATCTAAATGATTTGTTTGGAATTAAAATTATTTTTTACGACCCGAGTCATATGCTGAAACTTTCTGAATTTGTATGGACGCTACGTACTTCGGTAGAGTCATGTTTAACAAATTTTTTCTTATGGACGCATCACACAACAGATAGATGTAAGATAAGTATCGATCACCATGCGATAGTTTTAAATGTAAGAAAGGATCAGACTAAATACATGGTGTCCCAATAAATATGGGAATTTAGAGACGACTTGAATGTCGTCTTTGATTTAAGATTATTGATAAATGACATAAAGGGCAAAAAAAAGGATTGAACGTCTGATGAGCTCTTCAAAATGTGGTCTACCTTTTCGAATATCTTAAAATTGACAAATATATTTACGAAATAATACAGCTTGGAACAAAGACGATATGGAAGTCGTCATTTAATTCCCATGTTTATTGGGACACCCTGTACATTTTGTAATTCCTTCCATTGTTAAAAAAAATTTCCGATATCAAATATCAAATATCAAAATAATTGTTTCTTTTCTCGTTTGCCGTGAAAAAAATTTAATTATTAATTATTGTAAATATTATAATATTAATATAATATTATCTTTTCATGTATTGTTTCATGTTTAGGTAGGATTAAAGACAATACGAGATTAATTTCCCCATCTTCTTAGGAGTATATTTAAAAAACAATATGAGATTATTTTCCACATCTTCTTAGGAGTATATTTAAAAAACAATATGAGATTATTTTCCACATCTTCTTAGGAGTATATTTAAAAAACAATATGAGATTATTTTCCACATCTTCTTAGGAGTATATTTAAAAAACAATATGAGATTATTTTCCACATCTTCTTAGGAGTATATTTAAAAAACAATATGAGATTATTTTCCACATCTTCTTAGGAGTATATTTAAAAAACAATATGAGATTATTTTCCACATCTTCTTAGGAGTATATTTAAAAAACAATATNACAGTCAACAAGAATGGGTTCACACCCTTTGCTAATGGTGGATGTCAAAGTCTACTACAGTCAACAAGAATGGGTTCACACCCTTTGCTAATGGTGGATGTGAAAGTCTACTACAGTCAACAAGAATGGGTTCACAACTTTGCTAATAGTGGATGCCAAAGTCTTTTACAGTCAACAAGAATGGGTTCAAACCCTTCGCTAATGATGGATGTCAAAGTCTACTACAGTCAACCAGTAGGGGTTCACCCATTGCTAATGGTGGATGTCAAAGTCTACTACAGTCAACAAGTAAGGTTTCACCCTTTGCTATAAAGGTGGATGTCAAAGTTTTCTACAGTCAACAAGAATGGGTTCACCCTTTTGCTAATGGTGGATGTCAAAGTCTACTACAGTCAACAAGAATGGGTTCAAACCCTTTGCTAATGGTAGATGTCAAAGTCTATTAAAGTCTAATAAGAATACATTACTAGTTTTGCTGAATCAATATGTATTTATAAGTTTAGTGAATATATTCATGAAAATATTTTGATTAACAGAGACCTGACTAATCAGTATACTTGTAAATGTACAATGAATATATGTTCAGTTGAGATTTCAATATGAATACTGAATAGTTTCTTTCAACAATTACCGATCAGAATAAAATTATTAAACATTATATTTTCAATTGGCTCATATTAAATTTTCTTTTGTGTTTTTTTTTTAGCTGAACCATCATACATTATTATTTTGTATTTTGTGTTTAAAAATAAATATTATACTAATATAAAAAAGCTAATTATTAATTAGGATACTTTAAAAACTTCAAAAAGTTCGCGTATTTAGAAATAAATACAAACTTTAATTCAGAACCACTATAGGAATAAGACTTTTAGGCTCAAAGCATGACTTTTGATATAGTGTGCAATGAACAAGATCCACTTAAATTGTGCAGTGTTAACAGACCCATTTCCAATAATAAGTGAAGTAACATTTCGTGGATTTTCAAAATTTTCAAAAATTTAATGAAGATCGAATTTTGATGGAGACATATATTTTAAATTTTGATCATACATAAACCTTCCCTGGGGTGAGGTCCCACAAAAAATTTAGGACCGATCGGTTCAGCCGTTTTGACGTTAATTGGATACAAACAAACAAACAGACAGATAATGGACAAACTTTATGTATTTATTTGATATACTCCCCTCTCCCTTACTAACTCCTTTCCTCTCTCCCTCCCTCCCTAGATCTTCTTAAGAGCTCTAATATCCCCTTTGTAAAATATGATTAATTGATAGATTGTGTGGAGTACCGGTGCAAGGGGGGCTAGATGATCAATTAATTAAAATATATAATGGATACACGGATACCATCTTAGAAACTACATAATAAACAGCCAACAGGCCTCATTCATTTCAGTTAGACACCCCTAGCCCTGGCCATTGTTAAGGTTTTCTAAAATAATAAACTTAAAAACTTAAAATCTATACCATAACTCAAACCTAAATATAAACCTAAAACCAAATCTAAACCTAAACCCAAATAAAATCTAAACCTAAACCTAAATATAAACCTAAAACCAGATCTAAACCTAAACCCAAACAAAATCTAAACCTAAACCTAAATATAAACCTAAATTTTACAGGGTCCCCCACAAAGGACGAGACTTCAGAGACGACTAACGGAATTAAAACTCTCTATGTTCCTAATATTTAATGTTATCATATTTTAAGAGTTTAATGTCGTCTTTACTGTCTAATCTTTTAAGGGTTATTTTTATACTACAGGCCCAGGGTGTATTTTGGTGGCTAAATTAAGTCCAAATACAATACATACAGGGTGTCTATGAAAAAGTGCGTCTGGGGTTGTTTGAATAATAAACATCGTTGTA